GTTTACCTGGGTGGTCAACAAATGCCTTTGATGTCGACACCCGCGCATCCAGACCACCGTGCTGAGCTGACAAACAGCTGATCGGCTCAGTGTGGCAGCCATGTAAATTTAAATGAAGCAGCGATTATTTAAATCGCCGCTTCATTTTCCTATGCCTGGTAGCCTAATCTACATGCCTCTGGTGACAGAGGCATGTAGTCTAGACGTACCCTAAGTGTGTGGGAGACAGGGCCTCAGGCAGAACAGGTGGGGCTAGCAGGCTAGCCTCCCCAAAGGGGGCGGGTCAGCCTCTGCCCATAGCTATATTTCAGGGAATTAGTTGAAAACCTTTCAAGTAGGCTAAGTGTACAGCATATCTTATGTACACAGTTGGCACTCTGACTTTAACTTCAGTTAAAGGTACAAAACAAATTCTGAAAATGGGCTACTGATAGTCAAAGGATTCTGGGCAAGAGCAGTGAAGACTGACATAAGAATCACATCAGTTTCACTGCTGCTGTTTTCAGCAATAATGCGCTTCTGCAGAGGCAGGTGCTGGAGATACTCACAGGGTAAGGAATGCAGTAGCAGAGCCCATACACCCTTTGAGCAAGTATGAAGCTTTTGGGTTGAGAAAACTAACTAGAAAATGTGTGCTCCCTCTCTTCCAACAGTTAGAGGATAGTTTAGGGACTGCAAATTTAGCACATCAAAGACTGATATGAAAAATGAAGCACCACAGCAGATTTCAGGGACAGAAGAGGACTTGGCTTCAGGAATCCAATGTCAAGCAGCTTAGCAGGGGTGCAGCTAAGGAGGGCTTCACTCCTTTTAAGGGTTTTCCCACAAGACCCTGCTCCGAGATGTCATGTTCTGTATCCTTATTCTAGTAAATGTTCTGTTGGTCTAAGATGTAAAAGCTTAACTTTGGACCAAAATTGACTTTACTGTTCCTCTTAAGAGAAATATTTTTGGATTAATACATTGGCATTGAAATTAGGGATGTAATAGTGTAGCCAGTTAAATGATAAACCGATATGCTGCTACTAATCCGTTAATGCTACCAGCTACACACAACTCTCCCCTCCCCCTTGGC